TTTTCTCTGGTTTGTGAGTGGTTTCTATTTGGTCTCCCATTACTTTTCTCTGGTCTCATGGGGCATGATTAGCAAAGAGCTGGAACTACAGCAGCTGCTAGAGCTAAGGGCTGATCTTGGAATGAAAGGTGTTTGTGCCACAGACTTCAAAGAAAAGGGAACTTAGGGGGAGAAAATTTTTATTGGGGGGGGGTGTATTTAACTATTTCCACTTTCAAGAAACCACTATTATGAGAATCCACAGCCACCCTTCACAATAAAGTCTTCATCATGACTTGTATGACTTTTCTGATCCTATTAGTCAACAGTGTTTTTCTTAAACAACTGCTAATTGTGGCACCCACTCTCTTGTGTTCTACTTCTGTTCCTTGATACTGCGGGGTTCTTTGTTTGTTTGTTTTACCTGTTAGAGCTGGGAATTCATGTTGTGAGACAGCAAGTCACTCACACACTAAATTAGATTATTTCACAGTAATTCAGGTCTGTTCTTCAGTCTATGGTTTTGTGATCTTTTAAGTTTAATGAAAAAATATCATTTCTTCATTAAAGTACAGATGGCCCACAACATATAAGATGGTTCAACTCATGGAGGTTTGATTTCACCATGGTGTGAAAGCTATAGGCACAATGAAATGTAGGAGATATGCAACAATTTATTATAGAATAGGCTTTGGGTTAAATGACTTTGCCCAACTGCAGGCTAATGTAAAAGCTCTGAGCACGTTTAAGGTGGGTTAGTCTTTGCTAAGTTATGTTGTTCCACAGGTTAGGTGAATTAAATGTATTTTCAACTTATCATATCAACTTACAATGGGTTTATCATCATAAGTTGAAGAGCACCAGTATAATGTTTAATCTTTCCCATAAGTGAGGTTTAGGGGCTTTATCACTTTTTTGTTGTTGTTGCTATTCTGAATAGTTTTATGAGAACAACTCATACAAATAGATAAATTTAAAGCCAAATTTCCTTAGGGTAGCATATCTCAAAGAATGGTCTTGGATCACCTATAATAGAATCAATGAGGGAGCTTTTTAAAGATTCTTAGGCCTTGGTTGGTAGGAGCATTGTCTTGTACACCAACAGGTTGCAGTTTCAATCCCTTGTCAGGGCACACACTAAGGTTGCAGGTTCCATCTGCCTGTACAGGAGGCAACCAATTGATCGGTTCTCTTGCACATCAATGTTTCTCTCTCTCTCTTTCTCTCCTGCAATCTCTTTCTTAAAAAAAAATCAATAAACATATCCTTGGCTGAAGATTTAAAATAATATTAATAAAAATTCCCAGGCCCTGCTCAAATCACTGGGGGGTAGAGCCTAAGAGCCTGTATTTGCACAGGTGTCCCACATATGGGAGCTTTAGGATACGTGTATTCCGCAAAGTGCAACTGCTGGTCAGGAGGAAGGGCCTGTGGAACGTCCTGGGAAAGTGTAGTGGTTGTGTACAAGAGCCCTTGCTCCAGTTTCCGGTTTAGAAAATCCCTCCGACTTGCACTGGAGATGCTCCAAGTGCTAATACACCTCCAGTAGCAGGGATAAAAGGGTGAAAGACAAGGTCAAGTCCAGAGCAGAGTAGAAGTTTCCAGGCTATGTCCAAGGCTGTTGTGAGTTAGAACGCTGGACTCAGAAGTTGGGTTCTAGCTCAGGAAACAGCATGGCCAAGGGGGCCCTGGCCCAAATGATTCCAAAGCAACTTTTAGGATGTGAATGAAGATCATTCTGAACACACATCTCTCAATACATGGGTCCCAGTACACCAGTGGCCCTGTCCTGGCTGCTGTGTCTTATTAGCCTGCACTTAATGGAAGCTGGAGAAAATCCAACTAAAATTTTTTTTTTGGTTTGCGGGCGGACACTCAATCCCCTGATCCATGCCAGCCAGGGCTAAAAAAATTTTTTTTTGAATAGGATAATCTTAGAACCTTATAGCTAGAAAGCATATTTGAACCCAAAACTAAATGGGGGCTGGGTGGAGAAGGTGAAAGAATTAAGGAAAAACAAATTTGTAAACACAGACAATAATATGGTGATTATGGTGAGGAAAAGAGGGTGGGGGTGGTAGAAGAGGGTAAAGGAGGAACAAACAGTGATGGAAGGAGGCTTGACTTGGGGTGGTGAACACACAATACAATAATATAGATGATGTGTTCTAGAATTGTTCACCTGAAACCTATACAATTTTATTAACCAGTGTCACCCCAATAAATTCAATTTTAAAAAAGGAGGGGAAAGAGAAAAATACTAGAACAAACAAAAATATTAAAACTGGTCACCTGGAAAAACAAAAAATGGTTGTCAGAGAAGTAGGACTGTTGGGGGCTAAAGGGAGGAGAAAGGCACTGTTGTTTTTCTTCATAAGCATTTTGCTACAATCTGATTCTCTTAAAACAGAAATGTACCTACACTATATTTTAAAAAGCATGTGTAATATAGTTAAAAACAAAGAAAATGATTTAAAGGATGTTTAGCTGTCTCATACACGTTAAGAACGGTAAGATGACCTTGGCGTTATCCCCTCTAAAAATGGGGGGTGTGAAACGCACACTAGAAACCCTTCTGGGCAGTCCTCCCGAGGTCCCGCAGCCCGCAGCGCCGCAGCACCCAGGGCAGGGGTAGGTGGGTGCAGTGTGGCCTGGCGGGACTCAAGTGCGGCGGTGGCAAAGTGTGCAGGTGCGGAGCTCAGTAGGTCCTCCCTTTCTGGAAGTCCCAGGGGTGTACTGAATGGACCGTGCAATCCAGAGGTTTGACAACTTGTCCGAGCGAGAGGTAGGCAGCAGGAGCCCGGATACAGCTCTGAAGATGCCAACAGTGGGGGCCATGCCCCTCGCAGCTGGAGGAGACCACTTACTGCCCCGCCTTGCAGTCATGGACGAGCACAGTGAAGGCTGAAGAGGTGGGCAAGCGTGCCCCCTGCAACCACAGCTGCAGACCCTGAGGACCTGGAAGAGAAGAGCTGGGCTGTCTTCGGCCAATGACGACTGGTGGAAAATTTCCAACAGAAACGAGAGGGTACGTTGAGTTCTCAAGCGTCAGACTAAGTTGATCTGAAGGTATTTCAAGTTAATGCGCTGTTGAATGAAGTGCCTGGGCCCAGAAGACGCCATCCTGGGCGCCTGGTGGCTTGTTCGGCTTTCAAAGCCAAAGAAGTAAAGTAAAAGCAAACCAGATGTTCCCTAAATCACTTAATTTAGCACATTTTGAACTTCTCTATGAATGTCTTTCTTGTCTAATGATGATCCTTCGAATAATACAGGATAGATGTGTAAACCCCAAGACATCTTCAACATTACACAAGATCTTGTGTTCCTTCAAGGCAGAGCCTCCTCTGCTGAAGCATAGACCTAAACCTTGGGCGGGGGGTGGGGGATGATTTAAAGTTGAAGAGAGTAGATCAATGACTGCATAGTAGGAAAATGTGGGAGGAAATGATCTGGAAGGGACCTGCTCTAGAAAACGAAGTGCAGAGAATCTCAAAGGTGTTGTGGAATTAGTCTGGAGACACTGCTAAAACATTTCTGTTTTTTCCTTAATGACTTCTAGATTCTTTGTCTCACACTGTGGAAAATATTTTTCTTATGTTCTTCAATATAAGAGATGGTTTAGCAAGAATGAAGTTTGACCAAAATAAACTCCCTCTGAATAACAGAGCCTTTGAATATTAAGAAAGTAAATGCAGTGGCCAGAATCCCCAAGTTTAGAAACAAGGTGTTAGTGTTTTTAGTCTTCAGTACTGGAAGGAATCTGCGAAATCTGTAAATGTGAAATGCTGTGGTTTCCCTATGTTAAAGCAAGGATGGGGTTCTTGAGAGTTTATAAAGATGTCAGTCTTTTGAGGAAAACAAATATTCTTTGGCATATTCATTAATGGGAGAAAAGGGAAAAATATGGCCTAATTTTTATTTTACAGATGAGGAGACTGTGGCTCAGAAAGAGAAGTGGCTTCTCAAGGATCACACTGAGTCAGACCTGGGAGCTGGACCCCGGCCATGCTCCTTGGCACAGTGCCTCTCCTTACTCCGGGAGCTCATACCCTACTGCAACAGGCATGATGTAAGCGTGGCATCAGATGATGTTCACAAATCTATTCATCATACTGAAGTACTGGCCGGGGATAAGAGGATTGGGTCTTTGGGATCTAGACAGGATTTTAAGGACATCTTAGTGATCTGAGCTCTCCCTTAGATACAAGTTTCCTTGAGAGACAAATTGGGTGAAATCCTTTTTTTTGGAGTTTAAACAGGGTGTAGGAAATCACTTATTAAGGTTATTGTCATGGGGATTCGAATCACTGAAGTCTTTTCCAACCTGATTCTTCGGTTACTAACTGCCTTTCAGGGCCTATGTGGCCAGAAAGCATAGGGAGGAAGGAAACATTCTGTTTCGGTGTCTGCTTTGAGTCATGTACGGTGTTATGCATTTCACAGATGTTAATTCACTTAATCTTCACTACAAGCTTTCTTGGTAGGTGTTATACTCAGTCTACCTCAGGAGCTCGTACGAGTTAGGTAACATGCTCCTAGCCATGCAGAAAATAGGTGGCACAACTAACACTGTGTGACACCATCTCTCATCTCCAGATGAGTGGGCAGATGAGGATCACACATTTGTTCTCCGAGCTCTCCCAGGGTAGGTAACCCCCTGCACTATGCAGTGAGTGTTCAGAGCAGGTAACTCCCATTATTCCCCCTGGCCTAACAGCTAGGGATGAAGCTGCGGTGCAGGCGGGGACCCCCCTACTAGGAGAAAGGCATTTAGGTTAGCACCTTTTCACAAAGGCTCCAGTTAACGCGCTTTGCAGAACAGGCAGATTCTCATTGAATGATGAGGGCAATCTGCTTCTGAAATTCCCAGTTTCATAGCTGACCCTGGAAGAAGAGACACGGGATTCAGCTTTGAAACAAGCTTGGAAACTGATGATAGGAGCTGGTTTGGGAAGAAAGAGGCTAGAATGACAGGATCTTAGGGAGGCAGACAGCATCTAAACTCAAGTAGTTTGCGGTGCTGAAAGTCAGCAAGACCATTTTACTAAATACTTTATTTTTTAAAAGCAGTTTCTAATTTACAGCACAGTTGAAAGGAAGGTATAGTGAGATGTTCCACAGATAGCAAGATCATTTGATGTTCTTGGGTGAATGGCCATTTCCGTCAGGGTCCAGCCAATTTTTGGTGCCTTGGAGCATAAGCCAGCATCCCCTTGAGGAAGGGGGTATGTGCTAAAGGCAGACTTCAGGGATGTCATCCTATCCCCATGTCCCTGCCTTTTAAAAGAGGAACGCTCCTCCTGTCCTGCTGTTACCACTCGCACTAAGCATGTTCCCCATGTTCACACTGCACCCATGACTGTACATTTTTGCATCCTGAAAAGTTGTGGCCCTGGGGATGAAAAGCTCACCCATCAGCTGTGGCCTGCCTGAGGCAAGTCAGTTGGCTGCCTACCGTGGACACGTGGTGTTTTTGAAGATCTATCTCTAACCTCCAGCAGAAAACTCACGTGGGTGAACGGAAGGCAGGAGCCAGTTCCCATCAGTACCCGTGGTTGTGTCCCGGGCCCCCAGCATGTGGGTGCACCCCTTTCGTCTAGGCTTGGTCAGGTCTTGCAGAGTGGGGCTCTACTGAGATTCAAAGGCATTAGCTGTTTGTTAAATGAACTCATCCCTGGCACATAGCAGATGTTCAGAGCACGGTTGAATCAAAAGGGAAAGGGAAAAGAGTAACTTGAGACGGTTTATGTTTCACAGGAGTGCTGTGTGAACTTCAAATTCTCAGAACTCTGGGCATGTCGGGTCTGTCCACAGGGCCCAAAGTCTTCACTCCATTATGAGCACGGCGCAGACAAGCCAAGGTCAGTGACAGCTCCTGGTTCTTCACTTCATCGGGCAGCCTCAGCGAAGCTTAAATGCCTGCCATGGGTGCCGCTGCCAGTTGAGGCCTGCTCAGTTCCTGACACTTGGCTTTGGGCTCTGAGCTGTTGAGGTGGCTCCAAGAAGTGTCCCTCGTCAGAGGTCAAGTCAAATGGCCTCCTAGAGCGCCCATGCATCTGGGGTCTAAGCATCTCCACATTGTCTTTGTTCCCTTCCAGGCTTGTATCTTCAGGGGCCCACTGTGGAGAAAAGACAGAAAAGGTACCTGGTGGAACAGACCCTTCTTATCCCTTCCAATCCCCCAACAGCAGCTCCCATCCCAGTTCTCATGGTCCAGGCACACACAAGGACACACGGGTAAGGGCGGGGTAAGCAGGCCTGTGATCCTAGGACCCGTCAGGGCAAGCATAGCTTTAAATAAAGGAATTAATGGACAACCACCCTGAACAGACCAGCCCCACCCACTCATCACCCTCTTTTCCTTGTCACCAAGGCCTTCTCTAGTGAGACTGAGTCATATTTTCTTTATTCTAAGAATTCCCACTTCCATGCCTAACTCATTCCTAGAACAGACCAGGCAAACACAACCCATTCTTTATGGTTCAGGTGAGTACTTTTCCAGGAAGCCTACCCTGACTGCTTACGTACATTGAGCTCTCACCCCCTTCTATTTGTACTGCCTGTACCGCTCATTTGTAGCTGAGCATGGACAGTCCCGCCCTGTTGCCCGGCTTCTCTCTTGCCCTCTCAGGCAGATGATGAGCTCCTTAAGAACAGGGCACTTGTCTGTCGTCTGTCCTTGCCCATGCCCCCACCCCCATGGCAGTTCCTCTAAACTTGAGGTCAGCAGACTTGCCAAAAACAAGCATTTAAAACCTAAAGCAGAGTGGTTACTGCTAGTGAATACATCATTGCTCTCAGACAAACAGGAGAAATTGAAATTTGTGGGAATAGGTTAAAGGTTAAAAAGAGAGGTTAGCACGCACACTGGTGCAGCTCTTTGCAAAGCCCTCCTATTGCTCTAGTGTGATGGACAAGAGAGAGAAGCTCATACACGACCAAAGAGAAGGGAGTCCCCACTGTGATTCTAGCCATAGAGGCGAAGGGGGGTTGGGCTCAAGTCTTCTTTCTGCCACTAACCTGTCCTCTCTTCTCTGGGCCTTGGTTTCTCCGTGTGTGAGTGGGGATGTTGGATGGGTAACTAGGTAACATGATCTCTTTTCTTTCTGAGTTTCTATGACTGATGATTCTGAGTCATAGGTCATGTTTGACAGCATCAAAAGACCCAGAAAACAACAGGCAAAGGCCACACAGACTCCATCAGCCACAGGCCAGATGACCTATCTGGGCAAGAAAATAGAATCAGGTGTGGACACGTGCACCAAGAAAAATGCTCCACCAGATACTCAAATTTGATCTGAATCGATTCTTCCAGTCCTTGGAGGTTCAGGACAAGGTCTTCAAGGCTCCCTGAGCCAGGCAGAGCCTATATTGTGCCAGCTGTAAAACACAAATTATGGCTTTGTTTTGGATAGAAGGAAACAGCCCAACTCAATGAGAGTTACTGGTAATAACTGAACCAAGTTCTACTACTCGGTGACTGAAAACAGCATCATGTTAGAAAGACCACCTCATCCCTACTAACGCTGTGGGTCAGGGACTAAGCTGATTTGTTTGGTGCAGCTCAGCCCCCAGCACCTGTCTGGGGCTGCACCAGCCACTGCCAGTGCTCACTTCTCATTTACTTGTGGCAGCAGATTTGGGGACACATCTCTATACACATTCCTTTCTGACCTTATCAGAGATCCACATACAAGAGCTTCCCAGCCCCAGCCTCTGTGGCCCAGTCGCCCTGTTGTTGAAGTCGGAGCCTGTTTTCTGAGGATGAACAGTGTGCTTTCTGACGAATGCTGTTATTCAGGCGAGGCCCGCACTCCAGATCCGATTTCTGAGTGTGTTCTGGACCAACCTCCACCAGAAGGGCCCAGGGTGCTCCTTCAAAGGGCTGATGTGGGTGACCCACCCTAGACTTTATCTGTGGGCTGAGACCTACAGTTTGGCTCTGATGCTTCAGAACCACGGCTCCAATTCTTGCTCTACCTGATGACTCAGCTTCCGGCAAACAGAAACGGCCCACCGCTTGGATCAAGTGAACTCTCTGAAGTGGGCTACGCCTTCAAAAGCATTTTAAATCTCTTTCTTCTGATTCTCCAGAATAATACGTTTTAAAACTTCATTTTAAGTAATAAGAACATGGCTGTCATCCAGGCGTAAAGAGAATTTGAGCAGAAGATGGTCCACTGTCTTCTCAGAAACAGTCCTGCGAGACGGCAGACACAGGTGGTTATTAGAAGCCGATTGCTCATGCACCACTCGGGGGCCAGGGTGGCCGGGAGACAGCAGCAGCTGCCCCAGGCCTTGGAGTGAGTGCCTCAACACTGCCACCGCTCCCGGCACCACCGTCATTAGCAACCTTCGGTCATTCTTCTTGCCGATAGACCTATTTTCTTTTCTTTTCTTTTTTTTTTTGATAGACCTATTTTCTAAACCACGTTTCTTCCTTGAGTTACACATCTTTTCTGGGTCCCCACTAGATGGTCTGGACAGAGCAGGAAGGACTCCGAACGGAGAGAACCAGGAAAAGCCCTTGTGCAAGACTTGCCTCTCATTTTCACACTTTTTTGCCCCTAAAGGAATCTGGCGTGGTTCCCAGCTATCCAAGGGGGGTGGCTAGCAAAAACAGGAACTAAAATTAAGCCACAGGAAGTCCCTCCTGGAATAGAGAGCTCAACTGTCCATACCTGCTCCGAGTTTAGGGTTTCCCAATACTAGTGCTGTAGAATAAAAAGGCAGAAGAGTGTATGCTAGGTTTTGCCACCATTACAGAGCAGAGCAGAACTGAGCCCCTGGCCCTGGCTGCTCAGTGGGCCAGGAGGTGGACCCTCTGATGGTCTGAGAGCAGAGATAAAGCAGGCAGAACAGTAGCCGCTACTCGCAGCGACTGTCGAGTTCAGTGATCAATAGGATAACTGCAATCATTACGAAGGCTGCAGGTTCTTGGAAAAATTATGACCCATACAGATTTTAAAATTACCATTATTAGAAATTACTATCACCAGGTGTAATAATAATAATAAATCTTCCATTTATTAACCACATGGCAGAGGTGAGTCAACTCAAAACCACAAAACTAAGACAGAGAGATGCAAATAAAATCTCCACCTTCAAAGTATAGGGTATTTGCTACAGCCAAGATTCATTTTTACTCAACCTTTACTGCACGGTTGGTTCCACTCCAAGCCTCAAATATGCCTGAGTCAGTTCTTGAAGGGCGGCTCTGCAGTTGGCTCTCGTCCTCCGGCACCGCATGCAGTGCCTGGGAGACGTGTTCCGACAGGGCTCTGCATCTGCAAGTGTCAGTTTTATTGCCCTGTGAAGGTCTATTAGGTTGAGCAGCTGCCAGTCTGGAAGGTCCGCAGGATTCGGCATTACTGTCACATTAAAACCAAGCCTCGCCTGTTCAATTATTTTATATTTCCATTTAAGACAACTTTTGAATGATAAGAGTTTCTACTGTAAACAAAAGAATAACCTCATGAACACCCTGGACACACCCTGTTTTATTTGCTCTGGCTCCTTGATTTTTTAATTGCCTGAACTACTTTAAATTCCTCTGTAAATACTTCAGTATGTATCTTACTGATAAGGACATTTTAAAAATTGTAAGCACAATGCCATTTTTATACCTAACAAAATCAGTAATAATTCATAGCATTTGTATTTTAAGGACATCCTGATTGGAGGGGTATAAGCTGAAAAAGAGAAGATTAATTGGAGAAGACATGAAATGACTAAAAATGATGGTTCCATACACATTGCACAAGACAGACATGCCAATGACAACACAGGGGTTCAAGAACTTAAGTAACTCCCACAGATAAATACGGGCATTCAGGCAAAACTGAAATGGTTTCCTGCGGTCGCTGCAGTGGGTGGGTGTTTTGTTCATTAACAAAATTACTAAATGCTATGTGTATACTGGAATGTGACCTGAAACAGAATAAGAATATTAATGGAAAACTGGCAAAATTTAAATAAAATTTGTAGTTTAGTTAGTAGTAATGTACTAACATTAATTTCTTAGTTTTGACCAATGTAACATGGTTTTGTAAGGTGTTAACATTAGGGAAAATGGTAAAAGTACACAGGAACTCTCTGTACTACCTTTGCAACTTTTCTGTAAATCTAAAATTATTTCAAAATGAAAAAGTTTATTTAAAGCTGAGCAAACAAACAAATAAAGAATCTTGAAATTCTCCCCAGCTGGGTTGAAACAAAACCTCAAAACTTCTTTCCAAATCTGTAGCATCACAAGCAATCTAAAATTTAACAAGAGTGCCCTCTAGTGGAGATATTAGTCACAGCTTCTTTTTTACATTTTTAAACCACTGATAGTGTGCCTGAGCGTAATTAACCCTAATCTTTGTAACTGAGGTCTCTCCCCACTCCTCTAAAGTAAAAATAAATAAAATTGTATAATCTTTTCTTCATTTCAACAGCAAAATGTGCTTAGTTTTGTAAAGAAGTTTTTTTTCAAAAGAACTAAAGATTGCCCATAATTTTATGTCCAAAAGAGCCTCTATGAAGTTATTCAATAGCCTTCAAAAACACACACACACACCAAACCGTGCAAAAGGCTGTCCCTCCTTAACATGTAATGAGTATTTCCACATATCCTTAAAGAGGACCAAAATTCCATCACGTTGGTGAACCACAGCAGAGTACTTGACCTCCATTCACCTCCTTTCTGTAAGCACACTTCCTCGTGCTTCAGAAACCAGGAGGTATCCTGTAGCCCTGTCCTCAGCCCTTGGACCTTCTCCTTTGTTCCTGAAGACTTTGAGGTGTGTCTTACCCACTGAAAGAACAGTTCCTTTCCAGGCTTCCACTTCAGACCACGGGAGCTGGATGTGCCTCACGGATCATTTGTCCAGCTTCCGCCTCTTACCCTTGGGGAGAAGCCACTTCCCCGACACTGGAGAGGTGCGATGTTGCTGCACGCAGCACCAATTACAAAGGATTTTTTGTTTCTTCTGATTACAAAGTTTTAAGACTGGTCAGAGACACACCAGCCATAGCTCTCTCTTAATTTTACTCAGCAGATTTCCTTTTAACCTGGTACCTTACAGGCCTTTAAACATGTGATCACAGTCCTGGCTGGGTAACTCAGTTGGTTAGA